TGTACTACGTGTACATAACACTGGATGTCAGCCCTTCACAGCATAATCCTCATCGTGTATGCTTCTCCGACTTCGGCAATTCAGTTACTTTTGATTTATCTATGACGCGGGAGATTCGTGGGATCCCAGAACATCATCGTTCCATGATTGTTCCGTCAATTTATGCTTGCAAAGTTTGGCCAAGTTGATTCCGCAAGATCGTTCTTTACAGATGGATCATTAATAGAGGCGTCCGCTGGTTTTGGTATTTATAACGAATTTCATAGCGCCTCTCGAATGCTTCAAGCTCCCTGTTCCGTGTATATTGCTGAGCTGGCGGCTATTTACTATACGCTAAAAACGATCGCCTCACTTCCACCAGATCACTATTTTATTTTTAAGGATAGTCTCAGTTCTGTCGAGGCTATTCGCTCTATGAGGCCGGTAAAGCACTCCTCGTATTTTCTCATGAAAATACGAGAGCTTTTAAGTGCTTTATCTTTAAGATCTTTTGCCATAACCTTTGCATGGGTCCCATCTCATTGCTCGATTCCGGGCAATGAGATGGCTGACTCACTTGCTAATGTGGGCGCCATGGAAGGCGATATTTACGATCGACAAATCGCCTACGATGAATTTTTCTTCATTTATCGTCAACAGTCACTCGTCAGCTGGCAGAATAAATGGAGCGAAGGAAGTTTGGGACGATGGCTATATTCGATCATCCCTAAGGTTTCAAAGAGTCCTTGGTTCAAGGGGTTGGATGTGGGTCGAGACTTCATTCGTATGATGTCTCGCCTCATGTCCAATCACTACTCGTTAAACGCTCACTTGTTCCGTGTTGGGCTGAGGGACAGCAATCTCTGTGAATGTGGACAAGGTTACCAGGACGCAGATCACATTATTTGGTCTTGTGCTGAGCATCGCGGAGTCAGATCCGAACTGTACGATTCCCTTCGGGCTCGAGGTAGACAACCTAATGTTCCAGTTCGAGATATTTTGGGTAGACGCGATCTGGTGTTTATGAAACTTATATATGTTTTCTTTAAGAATATTAACCTTAGATTGTAAGTTTGACTAACCTTGTGTTTAGTTTTTGTTTTGTTCGTGTGGTTTTTTTTAAGGTTTGTTTCTGTAATAATTGTATAATTACACTGTGGATACCAAATTGAATAGGAATAAGTTCATGTTTTAGGAATAATTAAATATTTGTATAGTAAATCATAACTCAAACCTCCTCCTCCCTCTCCGCATCAATAAAACTGTAAATCTCTACTAACCTCTAGATGACCGCGAGTAATCGGTTCAGTTCCTTTAAATCTAGATTTAAGACATCAATTATGAATAACGCAAATGATAACTTGGCTCTGTAAAGTTTATTCGATTGAGCCTGTACAAATAAATTAATTAATAAAAAAAATCTCCCTGTGTGCCTGCTCAAAACTGTTCGAGATTATCATAAATGATGCTCTGTTCGCGTGCTGCAAAAATTATATCGATATAGAACAACAGGGCTTTTACCCGAAGCGCTTCGTGTCCACGAACCTGGTGCAGTTAACTTCTAACTGTTTGCGATGCATGCATTCAGGATGGCAAGTCGATGCTGCGTATATGGATCTAAAAGCTGCATTTGACACGGTGGACCATAATATCTTGCTTGCCAAACTGGAGATACTTGACTTCTCGTCAACGGCTGTGGATTGGTTCCGATCTTATTTGATGAATCGCTATGTACGGGAGAATCGTATTTTTTCTCAAACAACTCGGGAGTTCCACAAGGCAGTAACTTGGACCACTACTGTTTTCGATCTTTTTAAACGACGTCGCCTTTCTGATACCATCAGGATGCCGCGTTTTCTATGTAGAAGATAAGAAAATCTTCAAAAATTATTAAAAGTCACTCGGACTGTTGGGATCTCCAGAATATGTTGATATTTTTGCTGACTGGTGCTCAAAAAATTTGATGTGTCTAAGCATGGAAAAATGTAACATTCTTTCCTATCACCGAAAAATCGAACCAACCATGTTTGACTATGTTCTCTACGGACGCTGTCTTGCTCGTGTAGGGCACATAAAGGATCTCGGCGTTACCTTGAACTGCAGACTCACTTTCAGAATCCACTACAATGCCATCATCTCCAGAGCTAATCAACAATTGGGCTTTAATTTCAAAATTTCCGCTATGTCTCAGGTCACTCTACTGCTCGCTTGTACGATCCTTATTGGTGTCAAGTTTAGTTGTTTGGTGCCCTTTCCATGCTATCTGGATCACTAGAATTGAATTCGTTCGACGCAAGTTTGTGAGATCTGCTCTTCGTTTCCTCAACTGGCGTAACACAACGCGTTGCCGTCTCCTGGGAATCGAACCATTAGAGGTGAGACGGACGGTCGTTCAAACTATGTTCGCTGGAAAGCTGCTTACGGGTGACAAGGACTGTCCAACACTGCTGTCTCAGCTAAATATGTATGCCTCGAGAGACGACTTTCTGTTTTTGGAAACACGGCGCCGGAATTATACACAACACGAGCCAATTCGAGCTCTTCTTTTATATGTTCGACTTCAGGAATGGGATTGAACCCAGACCCATCGGGGTGTTAGAAAGCAGTCACGCTTACCACTACACCACCGGCGCCGGCAGCGAAGCCTTTGTAACCGAATGAATTCCGGCGTTGTATGCATTAGCTGCATTATGAAGCTCCTCAGCATAACTGATTCCACTTGAAACTGCTGTAGACATCGCTTTATTTACTACCTTCATAAAACTTTCCGCCCGCCAATTTTGCTCAGGGAAGAACGGTGTTAAAAAGATAGTCTGAATGCCACGATCTGAACAATATTGTTTATATTCTTCACCGTTGAAGGGAGGCTAGACTGATGCAAAATTTGAAATTATCGCTCCACAGTGATCAAACGGTTCCAAATTGGGCCCCGATTAGCCTCGCAAAATTTGAACTCATGTAGTTAAAAACTGACTTGGCAGAAACCATTTGAAGTTAATATGGGAATTACTATGGAGAAACCATAATTTCGGTTCATATCTACCTCAAAATTTACCAGTTCACTCTACTTTAGAAAATGATAGTTGAGCTTGTTGAAAATTTTCTCAGCTACAGCCGAGGGGGACGACAAATCTAAATCTCAATTTTAGGTGCTTAACAAATCTCACACTAGCTAATCAATCTTCGAATAATCTGCTTTAATTTCTCGCATCTACTTGCATCGTGCATCATCTTTTTGCAAGAAATCTTCAGAATCGTCATAAATCTTCTTACTATCTACTCAGCGTGCGCACAGCTAACCACAGCAAAAACAATTTTTCCTTCATCGTAGATAGAGTCGCCCCCCCCCCCCTCGGCTACAACTTTGTTGACGATCGATCAAATGTAAGGAGCAAAAATTATTAATGATTTAAGTCACTGATGTCTTATGATTATGCTCAATCAACCGTTCAAACACGTCATTCAAGACTTTCTTAGCGTATTCGAAAGCAGTAGACTTCACAGGTCGAGCGATTGCATGGCGAGATCTCAGGCCAATAATTACTAAGATGGATATCCTGCCAAACTTCATGTAAGGACCGTTAAAGTCCATCGCTGTGGTCTCCCAAACCGCTTTCGGTGCAAACGTGCATTGGAAGTATGGCTCTCCGGTTTTCCGTTTACAGCACAATGTACACAAGATTTTACCCAGCGTTCAGCATCTGCTGCCAGTCCAGGCCACCAATTTGGCTGTTAAAGGATGCCGTGCATGTGCTATTGCTAGTGTTTGCTCTCTAAGCTCGCTGGGAATAACCGTACACCAACTCTTTACAAGCATTCCATCTTTACCATGCAAATCATTTGAAATTACTTTGAACTTTTGTAATTCCTTAGTCCAATCTCCAGTTTACAATGAATCCAACACTCGTTGAAGAGTGGTGTCACTACCGGTAGACTCTCTAATCTAGGTTTCAGTTAAAAACTGCACAGCACTTGCCTCTAGATGTGCAATCTCCCATGGACTGGTTTCCTCGTAAAAGGCGTCGTCTTTTCCATCATAAAGACGAGAAGAGGGATGCATGATGCAGTCTTGAGCAAAGTTGCTGCTTATTTTTTGAACTTCAAGTTTTGGAAATCTGAATCAATTCAAGGAATCAGTGTATTTTTTTCATGTATTTAATCTTAATTCTCCATATAAAATACAAACTAAAAGCACATCTTACAACCAAATGAGCTTAAACTTTCAGAGGAGGTTTTCTCGCATTAAGGCACAAGTCTAGGGGTCAGCCCGGAGAAAATTAGAACTTTTATTTTTGTGTTCGAATAATATTTCACTTAATCTCAGCAATCATACGTCATTTTTGCTGCCAATCTCAGGAATAAAAAGGCCGAGGTGAAGGGGGAAAAATCAAAGTGGTAATTTTACATTTTATTTTAAACCACTGAATTGAACTAATACATATTTATTCGTTATTATAATCCTAATAAACCAGTAAGTCTTACAGCAATGTCGCCATCGTCACTTCCCATCACCGTACCTGTGTCTGCTTTCTCTGACAGATGAAGTGAAATAAAATAAAGTCCATTGTCAAACCATTCCTCATGTTCAAAACGTTCAATCGAACCGTATCACATCGCACCGTTGTAGTAAGACATTCTAAAATGCCGTTTCAATTGACTACACTTCTGCTGAACCTTGCTTCTCGTCACTTTCCACGCAGAATGCCATGTAGGTACCGACTACACTACACGACTGAGAATGTGGTTCGCCAGCACATCCCTTCTCCGAACCTTGTCACAATCCTCATCCACCCGTATCCAAGGGAGGGAAAATTTCCATGTGTAGGACTACAGACGACAGCATTTTTTATCCTTTCGTTAGAATTCATGCCACTCTCAATACACTTCACTCAATACACTCATTCCGATTTCATTCAGGACCTTTTCGTCTGTACCTACATTCGGTGTGTCACGATCGACCACTCTTTCTCTATTTCCTCTTCATTTACCCGTTTTCCGGATTTTTCTCTACTCTTTCGCAGGTAGCTGTACGGTAGGAAATACGACATACTTCCACGGTGAAACATTCAAATTGGATTGCCGAACACAATGCGTTTGTCAGGTAATTGAATTTCCATTACACCCGTCCCCGCCGTTATTGGTTCTATTCTTCCATTCTCACGAATGGTGTTTTTTTTTTTACTTTCGGAGTACCTAATTTTCATTTTGCTTGCTTAAATTTTCGTGGTGCCTCCGGTACGAGTGATCTTCCGTCGAAGTGGAAGCATTTTTTCCCCGCTCCTGGGTTTGATTTTCCGATTTGCTGACTTTTATGATTTCTGGCATATGACGTTGACGTGCAAAAAGAAAAAAAAAAGGAATTGCCAAGTCTGTGGAAAATTTCCAGATTGCCTCAATTGGAAGGGGGAAGCCAATTTTCGGCCTATTAGCTTCGAGTTCCATCACGGTGAAAAGACGCATATTGACGGGAAAATCTCTTAACTACTCGGATCAATTGTCGACCGGATTTGAAACGAGCTCTCGAATGTCAAACAAACATCCAGTCGAGCGGAAGTGTGTGTAAATATTTGAACTAATTATTACTTCCATCGCTCTGCAGCACGATTAGATTCCAGGCGGAGAGGAGACTAACCTAGACGGTTTAATATATCCTTTCTGGCTTGAATGCCAGTCTACGGGAAACAATATTGGCTGCCAGAGTTTAAGACTTTAGTGAAGCGTTAAGACATAAATTAGTTTCGATATTCCCTTGCATGCCGATCCTGAGTTGTGGGCAAATCCTTCCATCTAAAGCGGTTTAACAGATGGGTTTGGTTTCTCGAAACGAGAAGATTAATTACATCGACAACTTAAGATATTTAAATGTTTACTTTTCCTTTTCGAAGATCAATCACCCACGCTTTGCTAATGGTGCTAATTTGTCTTACTAGGATTAATTTGAAGACAAGTTTTTCGAAGCCATCGGTCCGAAATTGACCTAAGGGCTAAACGCTGCATGATGGAAGTGAGAGCAAAATACAGTCAGGATTCTTATAGCACGGTTAGTAGGGACCGTGCTATAGGAATCGGCAATTAACGTAGGATATGGGATTTGAGCTGGTTGGGGCACACCCGGGAAAAATACATTCTGTTGTTGACAATTCACCCCATTGTACAGTGGACCAGGAATAAAATCTAGCAGGAAAAAACGACGCATCAAGAGAAGTTTCTTGAATCAATTTGGACTACAATTTGGTGGATAAAAATAGTTCATGTTTTGGCCTCAAAGATGTCACAGCGATACAATTTTTTTTTAATTTAGAAAGATAGAGGTTTGCTGTCTTGGGCAAAGTTGTAGAGCATAGAATTTTATGTAAAGTTACCCAAAAAATTAAACCTGTACAGCTTCAGTCAACTAAGATATAGAAATTTTATAAAATTTGCCTGAAATTCATTTTTTTTAGTGTTATAATTGGAACAATCGTTCAAAAGAATTCCTTTACCATTTTCCCTCAATTGGTACTGATCAATCCTATCTTTTCCAGATCAAAGTTATTATTTTTAGAGTACTGAAAAATAAATATCACATGAAAAAAAAAATAAACATGATTTTCAGACAGAATTTTCTACAAAACTCGCAGTGTTCAATAAGTGTCATCAGTTATTCAAAATTTAAATCAAATAGACTTTAGTTTTTCACGATATCCCAAAAGTATATTTTGATACATTTGAGATGTTTGGATTTTGATTCAGTATATAGTAAATTTTACTAAAACAAGTGGGTCAAGATTGAAAAGTTCTGTTGATCTGTATGACAGTCCTCAATAGCTGTGCCAAATTTAAATGAATTTGTTCTGATCTGTATTTGTAGGAGATCTTTAAAATTTGTATAGAAAAAAATAAAACGATTCATTTGCTTGTCAAAATTCAAAAATTGTTACAATTTGGATCAAACCTAAGATTTACATTGGGTACACTATGCATAATAGCTCGAAAATCGCAAATCGATTATACATTTGCGCTAAACAGTGCTGTGTTCCTAAAATTTGAGCTAAGTAGTCACACCCCACCCATCCTGTGCCCTTAAATCTGCTGTATCTGATTTTGTAAACAATGCATTTGATCGTCAGTTTGGCGTAGCTGGTAGTTCGCCCACGCATTCTAACACCACTATCAGGCAGGGGACAATTTCCCTTATCTGATGGTAGTGTTAGTGTATGGTGGCGATCTATCAGTTACGCCAAATTGACGATCAAATGCATTGTTTACAAAATCAGATAAAACTAATACGTCCCTTCGAAAAAGTAATCGAGAAATAATGAACAGTATTTTAACTTGAATGTAAGAATTTCTCAGAAATTCCCAATTCGTCCTCGTAACAAATAAAAGCATTATCTCACTACTAACTACTAGCTAGCCTTCAATCTACATCAATCGAAACCATATAAATCATTTATCACTTTCCCTGCCTGCTCGATAATCCCCATCGTCTGTCATATGGTGCTGAATGTAGAGGAATCGAAACGATCCGATAATCAATCTCTTCCTTCCAAGTGGAAATTCCCCCACTGGGATCCAGGTGTCACCGCCCACAAGCTCTGCCTGTCCGTTTCGGAACGATTTCCTTGCAAATAGGATGTGTACTTTGCATGAATATTGAATATTTCTGCATCTCTTTGATGACCCTTTTCGCTCACCTTACGCTTATAAGGCACATTGACTCACCAGTAACGATGGAGACTGGCATTCCAGGTCCTGGGGTGTGGACCACTTCGACAGGCACATTAATTGATGAATGACCTACTTCGGTCAGAGTTTATAATCCCCCTCTACCGCAGCGCAGAGGATTAGTGTCTGTCTCGTTTGTTTGTATCTTGTCGTTCGATGCTTAGCGGTCGCGTCCATGTGTCAGTGAGGGAAAGGTTGGGGTGGTGGTGGGTCAAGGGAAAAACTTTTCCACCATAAGTAATTACCTCCGCTCAACGTGAGGCGGCTCCAACAACCATTAGGCTGTAAATACGGGACTGTGGATTCCTCGACCAAGTCGTGTCGTGGTGGTTTAGCTGAAACATCAACAGTGTTTCCATCAACCTTGGATGGGTGGAGGGAAATCGCGATCCAGGATGTGGGTTTGTTGAGCGAGTAGACGATTAAATTTCAACTTTGTTAATTACCGGTCCAATATTTACGCACAATCATGATACCGTACTCGACGGGTGTGAAAGGGATAGCTGTCTCGCTGCCAGCCGCTAGAGCTTCTAATGAATTTGATTAAAATATTACGCCATAAATTGCGCTGCGACAGTTCCGAATATCTTTTTTACCGCTTTCAATTTTTTGTTTTGTTTTCTATTAAAAGGGGGTTTCCACCATTTGAGTGCGACTTTATTCATGAAAAACGGTTTTTGCAGTTCCATTTTAATTTTTTTTTTTCGATTTCTATAATGTCAAACCCTTTTCAGAATGGAAGGCATGCATGTTCGACCCTTTGTCCACACGAAAATTTGCCACCACCGAACGATACGGCCATTTGCGTCGGAGCGAGACTGGTGGAACTTCCGGATCACTGTTGCCGGGTGTGGCTTTGTGAGCAGCCCACCACCGATGGTAAGTGTTGGTTAAGATGTGTGTTTGTTATGTAAGATATAAGGTAGAATGTTTCGTCGAACAGAAGTCCTTCGGGAATTAGTCGTTGTGAAGTTGAATATTTACAATCAGATTTCAGCATCTGGGTCCGCAATTTTATTTGAATCCCAAGCGTACTTCAGTCCGACGTTTTGATCCTAATTGGGGTCATCTTCAGGGATAAAGATTTAATCGTTCCTAATGCGGTCTATCATGCTAAGGAAATCTGATTCTGTGTTGTTTTGACGTAGGACTACGTCTTTGATTTCTATATGGGGGTACACTTTGTGAAAACCGAAAATGGAACAAGTAACAAATTAAGAAAGATTTTGAACGTTAATAACTCAGCTGCCCCTGGCCCAGTTTCAATAATGTTATCACCAATCGATGAGAAATATGGCTACGCATCGATAACAATGCTTCCGAATGTTGATTTTCAAAAGAAACTACTGAAAAACTGGTAAATGTCCAGCATTGTCCAAAAGCGTCGAATTAACTAACAAATCCACCAATTACCTACATGCATATGCTGCTTCCCCAGCACAGTCGTCAGAGAGTAGTAAGTAGACGACACAAGTCGAAGTGGCATTCGCCTCCGATCCTCAGGCGCGTGCGAATAGGGAGGATGGAATTGCGTAATATTTTGCACACTCATCGCCAAACTCAGAACCGCTCGGGGGGAGGTAGCTCATCGATTCTTCCGGTTCGCCTCCTAGCATCGTGCTATAAGGTGCCAGGCGATAGCCAGGATAGTTGATCGATGGCTCGATGACGTCATTTCGTTGGCGTCTGCAATGGGAAATTCTCATAGCAGGCGTTGACGATGGGACGTTGTCGAGTTGTTGAATAGCAACTGTCGTGGTGACTCACCGATTACCTGTCGATCTGCCAAATTTGGAAAGACGTCTGCATTGAGTTGTCTCATATAATAGTATTCCGCCCACTATATCACGAGAAATTGCGAGTAGCTGAGTGGAGGGGAGATAAGTTGAGCATTGGGTACAGGACCGGGTCTCCCCTGGGTGGTGCAGGAAGATGAGCGCAATAGAATCGTCAAGTTGCCGTAAGGCACGGAATGGGACTGTTGCATGGCTGGGTAGTCAGGGTCTTCCATACGTTGGTCATTTCAGGTGGATTAGAGCAGGTTTGGGTTTAGGGTGGGCGTTGGCCAGATTTGGATTTTTCAGATATAGTCCTGAATAGGACCTAGATTGTTTAATACACTAGTAACCTCAACTTCTGTCACAGTGTTTCATTGTGACTAATCAACGCTCAATGGGTAAAATATCAAATTTGCGGTAAATTTGAGGAAAGGTAACTTGGAGTGTAGAGCGCACTGCCCACTGGACGATTCTGAAGCCTGACCAATATATATAGATACATTCATACCATTGGCATTTTGTGTTTGAGATGGGACAGAGACGGGATGCGGAGGGCCCGCTTGGGGGGAGCGTGACCCATGCTGGGGCTTCCATTTATTGAGTGGTTCAGATGGGCTGGAAATGATGGGTTCATGTTGAGAGGATGTACCATGTGGTGCCCGTTCACTGATCAAAATTAAATTAGATTCAAATCGTCAGGCCCTGCCCTGTAATGGGGGGATTGACGGTGATGTGTCAAGTTTCATTTTGCATTTGCATATAATTGTGGGTTTCGGTTTGCTTTTGTAATTGTAAGATGGACGGTTTGGCTCAATTGAGGCATTGAGTTGTATAAACTTGACGAATCATACCTCTGAAATAGTAGTAGTTGCAGTGCCGCATTGTCTAACAACCACTGCCTGCAACTAGTGTTGGAGGGGTCGGCAGGGCTGATTACGGATCAAAACTAACGTGACTCTAACACTGAAGTGATCCCGAAACTGGCGCTCATTCATTGCACTTTGAGTCATAAAGTGGTTTTATTTATTTTCCTACTAGTCTATCTACACACTTATTTTTTTCTACCGGGCTCGGCTGTGTGGGTCTCGGCGGGGAGGGGGTTTCGCTGAGATCTCGGCGGGAGTGACATTTGATTGCCGAGTCTCGGATAATGCCTTTTCTAATAATCTGCCTACGTTTCTTTTATTTGTTATCTACTTCATCCCTTTTTTATTTGTCTGCTTCTCTTCTTTTGTTTTGTTTGTTTACATATAACTAATACTAATACCTCCTTGTTTTCTCTCTAATTTGTCTACTATGTCCCACCATCACGATGAGAGATGAGCTACCGTACATGGTACACGCTCATATACACTCCCAAAATAGTATGCCGCAAGTAAGTGTATCACAGAGGCAACTAAAGATCCAGATAACGCTGAAGATAATGAGCTGTGGTGATTTATATGACTAAATAGTATTATTTATTTATACTAACCTAAACACAACGTGGGGTGACCCAAATCCAAACGATCACTAACCAAAATAATAGACTTATCTTTTTTCAGCAGCACTACACCAGCCAGCAAAGTTCAACAATCCATCGTTGCTTATGCCTTTGTTGTCGTTTGGAACCAGTTTTGCGAGGTATAGGCGACGATTGTGCGTATTTCTCGCGTAACTTTTGAGGAGGGCCTATTTATAGCCTGAACAATACGTAAAGAGCAGATTGAAACATTGAACGTCGCGTGAAAGTGGAGCTTAATGAAGGCCTGAGTGCTTTTTCGTAGTTTTTGGTTTTCGGATTTGAGAGATCGTCGGTTACAGTGTCCTGCTTGCTGAGCAGGAAAACGCGGTTCCAGGTCCTTACATATCAGGGAGATTTATGGTAGAATCGCTTGTGTATCGTGTATTTTGCGAAACTCGTTGTTGTCGTTGGTTCCGGGTTTGAATGGATGCGGAAATTTGAGCAACGGTGTTGTGTGATGTGAGGGGCTCGGTGGCCTTAGAGCAACCGTTTTTGCTTACTGAGCAGAACATCATGAGTCTAGTCTCAGGCCTGTCCACGTTCAAGATTCGTCAATCGTTTTGTTTGTTAATACGACTACATGGTAGTGGCAGCAACTCGGTGATTGAAAAGGTGCTCGTCTGCCTAGTGGCGGACGTTCTTGCTTACTGAGCGGAGGACCGTGGGTTTGGTCCCAGGCTCCTTCGCGTTGTATGATCGTTGGGACGTCAATTCAGCTTATCGTTTACCAGAACGAACCCTGCTGCAAACCCAACCCTCTTATCCAACATCCCAGTGATTCCTCGTGGAAGTGCAGAGGTGTTCTCGGCTTCCATCAAAGCGAGTGTCATGTCAACACAATCCTTCCCATTCCTTTCTTGACCTGTGTTCGGGCGCGGCCGGCGCTGGTATTGCCTAATTTAAGATCACCAGTTTTTACACATTGAGGATGATTGCTAGTCCCAAGCATCGTCTATTGGTTCTCTGTGTAATTACAGCTGATCTGGCAATAACAGAGTAGCAACCGTGGGCGGTCAATCAAGCTCAAGCTCAAGCTCAAGCAAGCTCAAGCTCATCGCCAAACTCAGAACCGCTCGCTCCCAATGACCACATCACTGTGTGGTGGTGTTCGGTCGTCGAAATTAGTAGCAGCAGTAGCAGTGCTTTCGGCGTGTGGCGTTGAAAATTGTTCTCCAGTAACAACGAAAGGCTGCCTGCAAGCAGCGAGCTGCAGAGCCCACATAAGCAACCATCAAAAGAGGAAGAAGCTGCACCGCTATGCTATGGATCGAAAAAAGTAGGCTCGCTCATCTATTCCTAGCGTGTCACCCTCGCTCCAAACGACATACAGCTCAACATCCTCATCCGTGTTGAACACCCAGCTCAGAATTACTCCACCATCACTACAAAACGGTCCTTTTCAGGGCCACCAAAAATTTGTTGAAGAGTATTATTTGAACATTGGTCAAGGTCATCAGTTCCCGCAAGCAGCTAGCTATCAAGGCTCAACCTGTCTATAGAAGGTGTGGAATTGTAGGCCTGAATATATTGGTGCAATTAGTTTTTCCTCGGCTTTCATTCCACACGATTCGTTTCTTTCGTTTAAGACATCATCTCCCGCAAAGTTTACATTTTTCCCTCTACCAACACATACATCAGGGTTAGATAGATCTCCACAGGATCTATAGAATCCACGCAATTTCAAAAAACCAAAATGTACAGCATTACGAAAAGAGGTCAGGTTTCGACCAATAGCAGATAGATTTTAATTCTAAACAAGCCAAACGATTGGAAATTTATCTACCAATCTGCTAAAATGAACACTTAGTAAATTTTCAATAGGTCACTATTGAAAAATACCAAATGTCCAACTGTTGCAATGGTGATCAAAATTATCACCGAATGTCTGAAAACAGCGCATTCCCTAACACATAATAAAAAATCGAATTCGATGCGGTCCCACTGAATGGTGCTCATTCAAACACCGTAAGTGGTGGTGTCCAGTCCAGCAGCAGCAGCAGTAGTGCTTTCAAGAACAACAACAACAACAACGAAAGGCTGCCTGCAAGCAGCGAGCTGCAGAGCTCATCAACCATAGAGAAGGAGGAAGAAGTCCCACCGCTAGGCTAGGATCGGAATCAGTAGCTCGTCGTGCTCAGCTCAGCATTACTCAACCATCACTACAAAACGGTCCTTTTCAGGACCACCATAAATTTGTTAAGACTATTATTTGGACATTTTTCAAGGTCATCAGTTCCCGCAAGCAGCTAGCTATCAAGGCTCAACCTGGTCTTTATAGAAGGTGTGGAATTGTAGGCCCGAATGTTTTGGTGAGATTATTCATCGTCTGACCATTTTCCAGAACACGCTGGTAGGAAGTGTTAAAAATCCATATAGAATTTGAGAGAAGTGGGAATAATTCGCTGTGGGTGTATGTTCAGTCCCCAGAAAGCCAATAAAATCAAATTTGTGAGAAAATTAGCTCTCACGAGTTCAATCTCTCGAAGTCCCTCCTTTTTACATATTCTGCACAAACGATACTTTCCGCCCTGCCCCATTCATATAATTCAGAAGGAAATCCTGTGGGGGTTGAATTGAATACACTTTAATACCAAAAT